CATGGAGTAAACTGCGCTGCTCATTCACACAGAGACATTACGTACATGCAGAATTAACATTTGATAGCAGTCCTTTTTCAGTTTAATATTCACAGATATTAGTCCATATCTGATGAAGTGTACAGCCGTACCTTTACATTTATTCATCCAAATTTTCATTCAAATGTTGCGTTATACAGTAAATTCTGTTTTATGACTGGACCCTACTTTTTATCATTCAAACAGTAAAAATCCACTCTTCAGTAAGCAGAACAACTCCCACAGTCCCTCGGATACCAGACTAACCTGGCTTTCCAACTGGAGATGTGCAGCGATTGGCCTCTCTGACAGTATTTAATGCTTCTTTTGTTCATTTTTGGGCATTTTCATTGGTTAATTGCCCATTTAGTTCTGGTGCTGGGTCGTTCGTTCCTTTTTTATTTACTCTCCCTGAGGGTTCTAGAACATGCCAAGGTCGAACCACACCATCTCGTCTCTCTCCGTCTACTCGTTCCTCACCTTCTGTTAACTGCCTGTTTAATTAAGGGCTCAGCTGTGACCCCATGCATGGTGGCAGTAAGGGGACAGAGGGAAGTGGTGTCTATCGATCGCCTCCTCTGGCCAGGAACAACCTTCCTTCAGCACTCCTCCACTGACCCTCAGAGAGTGTGTCGGAGAGGCAGACATGCGTCCATGCTTCACGACTATAGTGCAGGGGGTCACGACTCAATAAGGCCTACGTATGTATAGGGCTGGACCCCAGTGGCAATGAGGCTCTTGGCACCACAGTAAACGGGCTACTCTAATTGGTCTACAGACATAAGGTGTTAATTTACATGCCAACTTATGCGGCTCATTGTTCAGAATCTACAGCCTCAAAGGAACTGATCTATGGTCTCAAAGTCCCAACGTTTTAATGGTGGTCCAATTAGTCACGATTATATTGAGAAAATACTGTCAACTTACATTTTTTTTCAAAGCTGTGTGTGACAGTCTACAAAAAAAATTCTTCATATGTGGCATTTCGGTAACACTTCACTATGAGGTTAAATTTGTTAAAGTTGTGACGTAGCAGAAATAGCAACAGAAAATGTCTTCTGCATTGTGACACATCCAAATGAAACGGGACTGAGCTCCTTGCATCAGTTGTTTATTATAAGAAAAGTTTTAAGCAGACTAAATTATTGAAGGCATTCAACATACTGTACGCCACCAGAAAGAGGTCTGTCACATTTACCGGAAAATTGAGTTATGACTTTTCGATTTAAAATTGTAAGTCAAAAAATTAAACATATGTATGGATGAATCATTCACAACATGATCAATGTTGCATCAGTCTTGCATCAGTTCACTGAGAAATTAGAATTTTAATTTCATGCAGACTTAACACATTAGGTATGAACTGACAACAAACAAATTTACAGCATTTAATAATATAGGTGGTAACGCTTTAGATTACAGCAATATTACATGCAACAAGTAAGGAATAAAGAGGTAATAACCTGGAAAATCACAAATTATTTATACTATAAGCATATAGAAACTAAGGGGTACCCATTATAATATTACGTGGCATGTTTGACCAAACAACAGTCTTACAGTCTTACAGTCTTACAGCAAGAACATACACTGTGTACCTTTCAATAGTACACATATAAAAAAAAATGCTAAGTTATTGTTTCAATCCAAACGCTCAGTTGAGATTGTTGGGTCAGAAAGGTGATTTGATTTGTCCCAATTTGGGTGGACAATCATAATAGCTAAGTAACCCGCCGGTGCTGGGTTAAGAATGTGGATATGAAAGAGAGCATGCAGCACGTCACTTGAGTTCAAATGCAAACATTTCTGTGGGCTAAAATCCATGTTTGTGGTGCTTAAGATGGGAATATGTGTGAAAAATAAAATAAAACTAATCGAAGCGCAGAGGCGTGACAACTTTGAAACTGTCTGGAGTGTGTTCGTTTAAAACTGGACAAAACATCATCTGATGCCCATATGAACATAGACATCACTGATCCACACAAACTTCTCCAAAACACACTTCTTCCACGAGCATCTGTTATAAAACACTCTCTGTCCATTCATTTTGACAACTAAATGAATACACTGAACTGTGTTCAAGCAGAAATATGATCAGTGCACCAAGAGCACACATACATGGTTCGTTTACGCATTAATAATAATGGACACACGTTAACCTAATGTACAATTCCCATATGTCAGTGTAATCCTCTTTACCTTGATTATAATTGTCATCCATCAAAACTTTACTAGCACAACACTGGTTTGCTTTATCCAGCCGAGAGTTGTAGTTTGTATATCATATGCTGATGCAGCAGTCAGGTGTTTTGAGCCGCTGCTCAGTCTGTATTTCACACAGTGCAATGAGAAACGCCTTGAGCTGCTCCAAAACACAGAATATAACAGGATATGTACAAGAGTGGTGCTGTTATTTATTTTTATTTTTTTAAATTGAACATATTAATCATAAAATTAAAAATTATTAAAATTAACATTAAAACATATTAATCACTAATTGAGTAGGACCCTAGTGGTTAAGCCAGGCTCACTCTACAGGAGTTTTAGGCCGATTTATCCCTGATTTTCCCCACCTGGGAATCTGAGAAAAAAAAATCTTGTCAAGGACCCCGGTCAGTTCCGATGTTTGGTGCGGATTATCTGGTAATGTGAGGCATTTACAGATCGAATCTTGCACCTCTGAAACTGCTTGCACACAAATCGGGGCCTCCCCGATCATTTCAAACATGTTTGATATTTAGGATATTTAGGGGTGATCACGGCTATGATTACATAAGCACTTGCGCGACTGCAAAACAAGCTGCTGTACGGGTCCATTGAGGTGGATGAAACTGCTTGTGGAAGTTTTGCAATAACACGACTGTCTGTATAATGTGTCGAAAATGTACCACAACCGTAAGGACAAAGAGAAGAGCTGGGGTGAAATCGCCTCAGTTTTGAACATACCAGATGAGTGTAGAAAGCTGCTAGCACACTAGTTAATATATGCAAACTTTAGTAGCTGAAACGTCAATGACGATCTGCTGCATTAGGCTGGCCGCGCACACTAGACGATTTTAAGCCCGATTTGCATCCCCGAACGATCAGGGGGTGTGGCCCGATTCGCGGCTTGTCGCAAACTATTTTTTGTCCAAAAAATCCTCTATTGTGTGGTATCATTACGATTATTTACCTGCTCCCGATCGAGACGGAGCGCCCCCGAACTCAAATCGTATGTTTGATATTTACCGGGCTGCCTCTGACGTGATACCCGCGATAGCCAATGAGAGCGAGCAAGCGGCACCTACCGGATGTTGCATGCTTCTATAGCTGAAACTTGGCAGCCACAAACATGCCATGAAAGCAGAGAACATCACCCACATTTTTTTTTATACTTTGTTTGTCACTGTGAAACAGAATGCGCGCCAGGAGAGCGAGCTGACAACATTGATTGTCCTCTATTTGTTTTTCTTCTCTAGTCACGTTTGATCTCGCGAGTGTCCGTAAGATCATGTGTCACTGTGAAATCGTTCCTACAATCAACAAGTGTGTGGTCTCGCGATCTGGTCGAATCATCTAGTGTGTGCATTCAGAGGATTATAAGGCTAAAAACCGGTTGAACTGTCTTCATGTCTGTGGTCTCCCATGGTATTAAAATCATTTAAGATTTGAAAATCGTCTAGTGTGTCCCAGGCCTTAGATCACGTGAGGCACTCCCTCTGGCATGATAATCTTAATAATATCTTGTAGTATGTGATGCACCATGATTTTCAAATCTTGTAGTGTGTGCATGTTTAAGATTTGAGGGAAGAAAATCTGCAAAGATTTCTTCATATGTGCTGCAAGCAGATTTCAAAGGATTTTAGGATTTTAAAACTCATGTAGTCTGAGCCCGGCTTTAAGTTCTGCATATAGTTTTTAACATTAAGAAATGTTAATGCATTATGAAAAAAGGAACAACAATTAACAGTAGTATGTTTATAAACAAACAAACTAATTTAATTCATTATACCTAATGCATTAAATAAAATTAAATGAAACCTTCTTGTACTGTGTTTCTAACAAATTTAAATAGGTTTCTTGTGTGAAAACAACAAGTTTGTTATTGCTAATTAATATATTTATCAAGATATAATGCAGGCACACCACATGTCCGCTAAGGAAACATACTAAGTATCAATGCTGTACAAAGGAACAAAATTAGGAAATCAGAAAAATATTTATGCATTTTACAAATGGAATTGTATTAATCCCAGAGCAAATCCAATAAAAACAGTCATTTTAAGTCAACAAAGTCCCACTGCAACAGCTGATTACCAATTTGTCACACAGTCATCAATAGATCAACAGTTAAGTGTATAATTTCTGTACTAGTGTCTCCAACAGAAGTGCAAAAAAAACAAAAAAACATTCCAAACAGGTTTCCAGAAGTCTCCGAATCAATCTAAAAATGGCATCCTTCTCTACATATTAAAATGGGATAGAAGAAAATATTCTAGCATATTCTAAAAATTACACACTGCCTCATCTTGTGTCATTAGAATGCCACATTTATGTCCATAGCCTACAAAAAAACGTCCCTGTCCCAATCCAATAAGAATTTCTGAGAGCCTGTTACAGTACTTAATGGGTGTGAAAAGGAAATTGTGTGAACGTAGAGGCTAAGAGGCCCATAAAACCATTTTCATAAATGAACAGTACTCCGTTGCTCCCCAGACAAGTTTTGCGATGGACCGCAACATTTTTATCCCCTCTATTTGGTCCAAGCTCTGTGCGCATTATGTGCTGATTAATTGAATCAAGCTGTGATTTGGTTCTGTTCCATTGAACAAGTGCTGAGATGTTTCATGGCTGGGGTTCTCCTGGCTTCCTCTCTCTCGTAAAACACCTACCCACTGCCAACAGCACACAACATGCGCTCTCTGCTTATCGCCGTGTGCAATGAGTGCTACACTTCGGTTTCCCTAGCGATGCCTGAAAAACCAAAACGTTAGGGAACTCACCACTGAGAGGATCCTTCTGTGCCGGTTATTTCCAGGACGTCGTAGTCTTCTTCCAATTGGAAGTTGGAGAAGACCAAGGCAATGGTGTCACCTGGTTCAGCCAGCACGGTCCAAGTACAGTCCGCATTGTTGTTGTACTCCTGGGGGTAATTTGGACTGGTGATGACACCACTTTGACCCCGTAGTGTGCCGCCACAGCCATCGTCCGCTGTAAAGAAGTGACACACAAATACAGACACATTTAACTTAATAAATCAATTTCCTTGATCTTCTGGAGGAGAAATAGCTGGAAATGGGGGGGGGGGGGACGTGACACACAATGGAGGTTTTGAGGTTTCGGGCATCACTCGCAGGCCAGTGATGCAACACACTGTAACATGGGGGTAATTAATTGAGATCTATGTAAAATTCTGTTCATTATTTGTAGTCAAAACCTGTTTCTACTCTATAAACTGTGTTAAGGAGACAATTATATAACAAATAGGCACTTAAAGGCTGCTGTGGTAATTGAGCCCCCTGGCTCTCCCAACCTTCCTTAGTAAATCACATGCAATCTCTCTATTTTTCGCTCACTTGATGCTCAGTCTTTCTTCCTGACAGCGAGTCCGTGAGGTGAGGAAAAAAGAGCCAAGCCAACTGTGGGTGAAGGCGAAGCAACAGACCCACTGACTTCCCTCCCCCTGTTTTTTTGCTATGCATCCCTCCCCTGAGAAAAAGGAAGAAATCAAAACTTTTTGACATTGAGAAAAGTTGAGTCTAGATACCTGACCTCCTTTTCAAAAAGACTATTCCCCGACATCACGTAAAGAGACATTGTTTCTAGGACGACTTACATAAAATGAATATAAAAAATTGTAAAGACAACCAGGCAGCATCTAAAAGTGGTTTTGTAGCTGCTAAGTCAGAAAAACTCTTTGTTAGAGATCATACAAGTAACTGGGGACTACAAGAAATCCATGGTGAGTTTTGGCAGAAATCATATAGAATGTAAGATGTTTAGCTGAGGTGTCAAGGTTGAGTCATCTCAACAGACCCTAGTCAAGGTAAAGTCATATTTGATGTTTGTCAGGAATGAAAACGCGACACTGAGGAATAGAAATACAGTGCGTTCAATGGACTGTACTGTTGTTTATCAACATAATGATTGTTCTGCTGAAGAAACATCCAAACATCCAAAAAACTTTCAGCAGACAACAATTCCATGAAAAAGTTTTGAAAGTTGTAAGTTTAGAAAAGTACATGTGATCAAGGACCTTCACACAGTGTGTGCCATTTTGAAAACTGTAAGTCTATCCCTCACAGCCTCGTTCATCCACGCAAAATTCAAAATGGCATCTACCCTGATTAAGGTCTATTGAAATTGCAGTTCTTCAAAGGTCCAAAAGTCTGAGACTTTTTATTTATTTATTTGTTTGTTTGTTTGTTTAAAATAAATTATATTATCAGCATAACAATAACCATTATAATAAATTTCAGGACGTTTTTGTATGATTACTGATGCTGAAGTAGCAGAAATACTCAGAAATCTTTCTCCTGAATATACAGATATGAGAAATATTTCTCATTCAAACTGTCAATGTTTCTCTCTTTAATACATTTATTTATTTTTTTCATTTTATGATAACTCATTTTTACTAATCAGATACATTTTAAATGTACGCTACCATTCAAAAGTTTGGTCGGTAAGATTTGTATGTGCTTATAAAGGTTACATTTATTTGATCAGAAATACAGTAAAATAGTAATATTGCGAAATATTACAATTTAAAGTAACTGCTTTCTATTTGAATATATTTTAAAATGTAATGTATTCCTGTGATGGCAAAGCTGAATTTTCAGCAGATTTACTGCTCAAGAAACATTTATTGTTATCAATGTTGAAAATTGTGCTGTTTTTTTTTTGTGGCAAATGCAATACATTTTTTTCTGTATTCTTTGATGAATAGAAAGTTCAAATTAACATTTATTTGGAATTGATATAAACATTACTATTTTATACTAAAATGATTTTGCATGTGGTCTCAGACTTTTGAACTCCACTGTATATAGAGAAAAAATAAATTTAAAAAAAATCACACCAACAGTAAAAAGACATTCCTGCCCTGTAAAGCCCCAGTTTGATAGCTACAGAAGAATTATGAATTATGGGTGCATGCCAAGTGGATATGTTGCCTTCCAGGCATGTAAAGGAGCAAAGAGCCTCTGTGTGTGTGAGCGAGTGAGTGACTCATAATGATAACTAGGAGGCTCTCTGGGGCAAAAGAGGGATTGAGGGAAAAAGAGTGATGGGAGATTTGTTTAGGAGGCATTTGAGTTGGCGTTCGTGTGTGAGTTCGAGAGGGAGGAAGGAAAGACAACGCAAGAGAAAAAGTGAGTCATCACACCTAGCAGGCAAAATTCTCTCTCACCAACCAAATAAACAAACTCTATGTCAGAGCGAGTGCAGAGTGTGTGTATATGCCTCACACAGGTGAAGGAGCTTGCTTGTCACTGATGGGTGATGAGTTTTTCTCTGACAGGCCAGCATGGGATTCATTAGCGGTGACTGGCTAATCGCATGATTTATTTTCTGTGAGTGGAAAACGGCGGGAGGACCTGGGCCCTGTCAGTCTTCTGTCGGATCCGTCACTCTTACATATCCCCGGAGAGACACTGAGCATATCTGAGGAGCAGCCTCTGAGAGTTCTAGAACAGAGGGATGGAGAGAGGGTAAAAAGTGCAATGGAGGCAGGGGAGGGAGGACCGGCTATTGATATTCCAGCCGTGAGTTTCCGTCACACTTCAGCAGAACGTTGCCGATCACTGGCCTCAGCTCTGCCTCTCAGTTTGGTTGTTTGATCTTTTAGAGACTTTGTGACTTCATGTCTAAACTGCTAATATTTATAAAAGGTTGTGGAAATGTATTTAGTATTTGCAGAAACCTAAAAGCATCACTAAAACTAGATTAACAATTCATGAAGGTAATACCAGTGCTTGCAAGTGCTGGCATTCATGATTACATATATGAAAGGAACACAAGACCAATCACAATTGATTATGCATATAGATGTCAGAAAGACAACCAATCACAATTCACTACACACACAGTACTGTTAAAAAGTCTGGGGCTTTGTTTTGTTTTGTTTTGTTTTAAATAAAATACTTTTATTCAGCAAGGATGCATTAAATTGTTCAAATGTGACAGTAAAGACACTTAGAATGATTACAAAAAGATTTCTATTTAAAATAAATGCTGTTCTTTTGATATTTCTATTCGAAGCATCCTATGCTTTTTGAGCACAAAATCAGCATATTTCCGCAGGATGGCAGTGAAGAATGGAGTAATGACTGTATGAAAAAAAACACATTTAAATTATATTTTAAGACATTAAATATAATTTAATTACAATTTAACATTCATAAATTATATTTTAAGACATTCAAATAAAAATCTGTTCTTTTAAACTGTAATAAGATTTCACAATAATACTGTTTTACTGTATTTTTAATCAAATAACTGCAGCCATGAGCATAAGATAATTCTTAAAAAAATAAATAAATCTGAACCACCCCAAACTTTTGAATGTTAATGTATATTTATAATACTATACTTTGTATAGTATTTATATTACATTACATTAAATACAGTACAATATGTGTATTTTTATTGTGTAAGTTTCTTATATATTCCATTTTTGTGCCATGGTACATGAAGTACAATGTACAATATATTAGAGTACACATGGCATTCATTGTCATAGTATGTCATATAGTATGTAAAAAAAAAATAAAAATAAAATACCGTTTCAAAACACCCCTAGTTTTGTAAGGCTGTCCCATTTCCTGACAACTACTGCACATAACAGAATTTTGGTTTACATCCATCAGTTTCCTTAATAAGCTCAAGCAGACCTTTGAACTGCCCAAGGAAGTCTCTTTTATGTCAAAGTGACTTGTTCAATTGCCTTGAATAAATGGATGATGCATAAAGATCTAAGCCCCTACAAAAGATGGTCTGCTTGTGTTTCATGTTTCTTCATACTGCCTTCCTCGGGCTCTGCGGCTGCCATGGTAACACAGCAGCGAGTGGTGTGCAGCAGCACCCTGAGACCCAAGAGCCAGCACTGATGGAGAAGAACAAGGATTTTGGAGTAATAACAGATCCAACCGGTCTGTAATAATTCAACTTTTCGGTTTTCTCTTATATTCCTTTTGGAAGGAGCATCCTGTTCAGTGTGCCGTAGAGGAGGGTGGCATGCCAGCAGCCAGCCATTCTGACGTTTTGAATGCGGAATACTGAATTAATTCCCACAGTGCGAGTGGATGAGGGGGTTGAGAGGGCTGTGAGGATACAGACCATGTGGAGATGCTTAGAAGCAGAGATCTGATATTCATCTGGGAAAGTATTTAGTTTTGTATATAAATATAGACTTATTAGATCAAATTTTTATAATATGCTCTATAGGAAGTGGTAAATAAGACAGACTGGTCGCTGTGAAGCGGCCTGGAAGATATACAAGCAGTGATGAGGAAAGAGAAGCAAGATGGCTTCTGGAGCCTTACTAACACTGTGCGACTCCTTTAAGGGAAATGACCCAACCTCCTGCCACATTCTGGCCACCCATAATCAGAGCCAGAGAGGAGGCTGTCTGCTGTCGGCTACCACAGCCTTTGATTTGCTGTTTTCTCTACATGTGTACAGAGCAGAACTTTGTTTGGTGTCAGTTGCATGGTTAATTAATCAGAAAACCATTACAATTGGAGAGAGATAAAGCATGAAGGATGATAGAGGATACAAAAATAGATAAGATTTCCAACTGCCAAATGGACATATAGAACATCGATTTAGTGTCTCATAATATATATATATATATATATATTTTTTTTTTTTTCCCCTTTTTTTATGTGGCATTAAGATGTGGACAAACAAGATTTAAAAAGATGGCAATAAATAGATGCAATGGCTGCCACAAAATTGCTAAATAATTACAAATAAAAATAAAGTAAACTGAAAGTTTTTTTGTGCTGAGGACGCACACGCATCATCTGTCAAAGCGCCTGACAGGGCAAGCCACTACGCAAATGCATTAGCTTAAAGCTTAAAATAAAGAATTCTCATGTTTTGGGCAGCTTGTATCACGTAACTCTCCTGCAGCATCTCATTCTGTTTCCTCAACTATTTTAGATGCATTTTGTCCATAAAAATGCTAATTCAGTGCTGTAATTTGACGCGGCCGGTTGAAGTTGGACTTGCACTGTGGCCAGACCGGACCCGACTAATCGATAATGAGAATCGTTGTCGATGATTTTCATAATCGATAATAATCGATTTTATCGATTAGTTGTTGCAGCCCTAGTGTATATGTGACCCTGGACAACAAAACCAGTCTTAAGTCGCTTGGGTATTTTTCTCAGTATTTTGATTTTTTTGCACCCTCAGATTCCAGATTTTCAAATAATTGTATATCAGCCAAATATTGTCCTATCTTAACGAACCATACATCAATGGAAAGCTTATTTATTCAGCTTCAGCTCATATGATGTATACATCTCAATTTCAACAAATACGTTAGCAATAAATAAATGCAACGGTTACCACAAAATAATACAATATGTTAAATAACTTAAGATGAAGTCTAAGGTTACTTCACTTATGACTTTATTTTCATTACATAGGCTGAATATGAGATTAGTTTATTCTGACATTTTTTTTATAAATAAAAAAATATTGTCTAAAAGTAAAATCCATAAATATATTAGCTCTGCTGTACCCTTCTGCAGACTGGCTAAGAACCATCAGATTAATTGTGCCAAGAACTGCAGTTCAATTCATTTTGCTGTTCAATTCCTCATACAAATATGGCACACTTATGTCTCCTGTAATTTTTTTAATAAATACTTTATTGTTAAAGTTAAGAAGGAATGAGCATCTGGAGACATATGGTTAGATCGGGACTCGGCAAATCCATGAACTGCTAACACCTGGCACGAGAAAGCAGAGTGGTGTGATGGTGAGAAAAATACAGGGACGAAAAGACTAAAAACTGTACAATGTAAAAGAAGAATAACGAGGGGCGGAAGGACGCTAGTGAAGGATAATGGAGCTTTAGTATTGGCAAGAGGGGGTCTTCTTCTGGCATTGCATGTCTTAGCATGTGTGTCTTTACGTGGGCTTCCTGTCCCCCAGCCCGGGCACAGATGGCCCTGGTTCATACTGGCCTGCAAGAACACACTCACACTCGATCTGGAGACCAAAGCTACTGTGCATTGCACTCGCATATGTCTAATACATTATACATGCTATTATCTGTGGAGCACATTTTCATTGTTTTATTAACTGCAAGACCTGTGTATGATTTTATGAGACTGTCATGAATATGTGAATATGCCCATGTAGAGTTCATTTATGCATACTTATGAGCCTGATCTTTGCATATAACAGAATGGACGCAAAATGTAAGCACATCACGTCAGTGGGGCTCAACATTGTGTTAATATTTGGCCTCGAACTGTCAGCACGTTTTCAGTGTATCAAGACCGAGAGCATTTGGATGCTCTCCCCCCAGTCAACAGCTAACACATTACCACGTGACCTCGCTGTCTCACACAACACGTCTGTGCGGCTTTCACACGTCGGCAGGTATTACCTCGGGGGTCTCTGCTGCGTCTCAACCAGGAAAAATAGAACTGTGCAGCCAACCTGCTACTAAACGCTGGAATATCTGTCAGCGCTGATAAAGACACTTGGTAACCTTCTCTTGAGTCTATCTTGAGGAGGTTCAGTCCCACCTCGCCCATTTGGAGCCCCTGGACTCACCTCGGCAGTACGGCAGGGGGAAGTCCCAGGCAGCGGTGCCGGAGGAAGTGGCCAGGCAGGAGAGCACGGTGTGGCCCTCCAGCACATAACCCTGGTTGCAGCTGTAGCGGATCTTGTCCCCGATGTTGAAAGTAGAGCCCTGCTGCATGCCATTCAGCAGCTGACCTGGATTCCCACAGGTGTAGCTTGGAAGGGCTGGAACGGGACAGAAACAAAATGTTTTAACTGTAAATTATCTTTATATATACAATAAACTGTGTGAGAGAGAGATGCATTTAGATTTTTTAATGTATAAGCTACCCCTGTTAAAAATGATATCTAAATACATTTTAAATTGTAATATTTCACATACAATTTTTTTTTGATCAAATACAAGCAATCTTGGTGAGCCTAAGAGACTTCTTTCAGACACATTTTGCATCTTTACAAAAGTGTACAATATAGATGTAGGGTTCCAATTTGCAGTAATAGCCTGAAATTATAGATCTATAATGTAACTTCATAATACATAATACTTATAAAATCACAGCATTACTGATTTGTACATTCTATAATATTCAATCCACTTACAGTACTTCAACCAATCACAAGATATTGTTATTCGCCATAAAAAAATAAAAAAAACATTATGTACATAATCAATTCATACAAGACATTTTGACATAAGCACATTAAAGTCTAAGGCAAGTCAGTTTACTGGAAAACTAACAATTTTTAACATTTCAAAAATGTCAAACAACCATTCAGACAATACTTAAAGTTTTTGTTATTTTGCTCAGAAGGCTTAATAAAATATTTAAAACATTTATGTAGATATTCAGTAGATCAAAATAAATAGACAAACAGACAGATACACACTCACATTTCAAAAGAATTTGAACCATATCAATATGTGTTCTATATTCCAGCTATTCAGTACAATACCACCAGCTGGTTTTCTTCAGATTTTCTACTGTTTTGATTGGAAAAGCCATGTAATTTAGTTTGCGGGTATACAAGCGTGAACACAATATACCCATACAGAAGATAAGCTCTCCTAACGGCAATGACCCGTTAACAGGAATGGTACACTGCAGTAGGGAAATCTGTCTTAGAAGAGCTGGCTATGGAGAGACAGCTAGTGAGAGAGAGATAGGTGGGCTGACTGCTAATTACATCAGCGTTGATTAGGAGAGCAGTTTTGTCACTGCATAGGTGAGAGCATGTGAGAACAACACGTTTGACACGCACACACACACACACACACACACATTTATCAGCATGCATATTAATGAACAGTTGCGCAGGTGTGAGAAACATACACTTGAGATTGTGTGATTTTAACCAGGACTGAGTTGAGTGCTCCCTTAACCATTAATTAACTTGATTGAACGAGTGGCATGAATATGAGCTAGAATGCTATCTAGATTCTCCCATTGCTGGTCCGGTAGAACTGTTCAAAAGAATAAAAACCATCTACTTTCTCATTCTGATTTTGCATACATAAATCATGAATCCATAACAGCTCTGTTTCTTAAACATAAATCCCCACTGGCCTTGAGAGACTTTAAGTATTCTGCGCCGCCTCTGGATGTTCCCTCATATGCTGTTCTCCCTGTGGCCCCACTGCATTTGTTATATCTAGTCTATAACTCGCAGGACTGACTGTACCACCCTTGCAGTTTGACTGCTTTAACCATTTTAAGGGTCGCTATATCCTGCCCGAGCGCTGAAACGGCAAGAGATGCTTCTCGCGTTACGTCTGCATCTATGACCCTCCTTCTATTTTTCTTTCTCTGTCTCCATTTACACTGAACCAAAGAGAGAGAGGAATGTAAGAGCAAACACTGTTCTTGTAACCTGGTGAAGAATGGGACTCGATTCTATTTTTTTTTTTGCATCACTTTTTTTTTCCTTTCCTAATGAATTTCACTTGAGAAATAGTTTCATGATTACAACAAAGTTTGGTGCACTTTACAGTTCATTCTAGTCAGAGTCACTTACTTAGACAGGAAGACTCAATCCACTCAGAGTGCTTTGCTTAGCAGCTCGAGCACATCAGACATGCAGGTGTTAATATATTGAATATTTATCATTATATTAATTACATGCATGTACTTTATAGACATCCTCAATCTCTAATAACTCCACTCTGCTCTCTGTTGTTGTTGTTTCTTTGTCTGGACACAGCACTGTTCACACGCTGTGTGGTAATGGCTTTTGGCACAAGAACATTTTAACGAGTAAGAGTATACGAGTACAGGAGTGCAGTATCAGGCCCCATACCGATACCAGTATCAGTATCCGTACTTCCCCACATGAAACAAATTTCATCTCTCCATGAAACAAAATTGTTCTTAATGTGTGTGTGTGTGTGTTGGATGTATTATATTATATTATATCATATAATATCAAATTACATTATATTTTATATTATATTATATTTAGGGCTGTTAGTAGATTAAACATTTTAATCTAATTAATTGCATATTAAATTTAACTGTGAAGATACCCCCAAAAGATAATTTAAAGCCATTATTGTGTTAAATAAGAAAAGTATCAAGTAGACATTAGAAAAAGTAGATTATTTAGAAAGAAATATTTTAATTGATTTAACAAATATGATTACACACAAACGTTTAGGCTACAACCGCCTAACATAAACTATGGAACATTAAAGAAGATGATTTGAGAAACTCAGAAACTTGAGTTGAGCCGCAGGCAAATCTGAGCAAAAACAGACAACACTGTGTTTAAAATGTTATTATTGTATATGTATATTACCTTACTATTTACTGAACTGTTGTGTAACATCACATTTTCATTCAAGCTACTCGGGACACAACAGCACAAGTGTGATACTGCACTCGCTGCTTGTGTGATATAGCTTATCATATGAAAAATATGAGACAAAAACTCATACAGGGGCATTTTTTGCTCCAATATATTGAATTTTAGGGGAATATAACTGCATTTATGGACTAGCTACATTAAGCAGTGAGTTGTTGCCCTGCATTATGTTGGTCAACAGTCAACTATGAAATGTTAGATGCTGTACAGGTCTGGGGGTGGTGCGGGTGCGTTAACTGTTGAAAACATTTTATTGCGTTATTTTTCCATAACTAATTAATTAAATTAATGCATTAAATTGACAGCCCTAATTATATTTTTATATTATATTATTTTACAATTTGTAATTTTTATTTTATTTTTACAAACTCTTGCATCAGATACAGTTCATTCATAATGTTCAACAAGTGTTAAGTCAACAGTGGGTTCTTCATTCAACATTTTTTTGTGCAAGCCACTATGACATTCGAATGAGTCAGTGGATTCACACTTAATCCGAAGGGGTTTGTGTGAAAGTCGATAATACTCCAGCTTCAAGTGTTTTTTTTCTTTTTTCTCTCAGTACCCTGAGTCACAAGGGCTCTGGTGTCTTTGTGTTTCATCTGGATCGAGTTTATTTCTATTTTCTTAATCTGTCAGCAGAAAAGCAGAGAGAGTTAGGGTGGAGATGAGCTTATTAAATGCAGAATATATGTTCTCAAACCACTGGGGGTTGAAGGTGTCTGTCTCATGTTGAATGGCCAGTAACATTATGTGCTCATAATTGGCTCAGCATCTGCCCAGAGGAAACCTTGATTCTTCATTGTGTGTGTGTGTGTGTGTGTGTGTGTATGTGGTTTATGAGGGTTTATGAGGACACAAATTTGTATAATAACATGGGTATGACATAGGTATTACAACGAGAAGGTGATTTATGAGGACATTTTCAGTGTCCCCGTAATTTAAAAGGCTTATAAATTATTCAGAATGAGCTTTTTTGAAAATCTAAAAATGCAGAAAGTTTCCTGTAAGGGGTAGGTTTAGGGGTAGGGTTGGTGTAGGACAATAGAAAATACGGTTTGTACAGTATAAAAACCATTACGCCTATGGAGTCCCCATAAACCATAAAAACAAACCTGTGTGTGTATGTGTATGTGTATATATATACCAATTTATTTATTCTTTTTTTCCCTTTACTTATTTATTTATCGAGCTGGCAAGAGGTGCCATAAACGGCAGGATTTCAGAGGCAATTAATTGGTAGTTTGGCCAGCTCATAATCACATTTGGTTGTGAAAATATTCACACACACACACAAGCAAACAGAATAATTGTGATTGTGATAACTGTTTCAGTAAATTGGAGTGAACCTAGTTTCACCTTCCTAAGAGAATACACACAGGGCTGTTAGTGACAACCTGTTACTGCAGTGGCTCTAAATGAACAAACCAAAGCCCATGAAACATTAATAAGCACTCAAATAGACCCCAAACTTCAAGATTGTATATCCATTGGGTCCCTTAAAGCACGTGGAACAGAATACTTCAAGAATTTTGCAGTCAGAAAGTTTCAAGAAGAAAGAAAGAACAAGAGGCATGAAGAGCAGCATTTCTTCCTGTAGCGAATCTAGAATTCACAGCCTCTCACTCAGTATGGGATGTTGTAGCTTGACATTTCTTATTTTAAGTAGGATGACTAGTTCAAATCTTGGTCGACTGATCATTTTTAAAAGCTATCTGTCAGAAAATGTATATTAGTAACTGTGGATTTTTTTAGCTGCATGTTATTTTGTGATTTAGACAGGGCACATTCAAACAGAAAAATCTAATAAAAAAATAAAGATAAGCTGAAATACTACATTATGTCATTATGTTAACATATATTTTATACAATTATTTTATATTCTAAAATATACACTACCGTTCAAAAATTTGGGGTAAGATTTTAAAAATGTTTTTATCTTTTATGGTCACTGAAGCTGATTTTATTTAAACAAAACCCAATAAAAACAGCAATACTATTAAATATCATTACAATTTTGTTATTACAACTGCATTTTTATTAAATAAAAATTAACATCTAAATTGAAATAAAATTACTCTAGTTTTCAGTGTCACGTGACCCCTAATGTTTAGTATTTTTGTGTAAACTGATCCATTTTTTTTTCAGGATGTCTTTGTAACATTATTTATGGTCACTTTTGATCAAACTACTGCATTGTTGCGGGTAAACTGACAGAGCCCAAATATTTAAATGATATTAATTTTAAATATTAAAACAAATTATTTATTAATATTAAACAAATACATTTGGCATACATTGCTAACTGCACAGCTTCTGCAACTAAGCATTTAAAGACTATGCAAGCTGCTAAAAAAAAATAGCAA